TGTGCATGTAGAAATTTTTGAAATGGTGTATCTTTGGCTATGTATATTTTCACCAAAAAAAAAAAAAAAAAAGGTCGAGAAGGGAGAGGGTTGACATGTTGTTAACCAATGTCATAAAACAATACGTGTACTACTGTTTCATGAGAAACTATTTGTTCTGTAAACCTTCACCTGAAGTACAATTGAAAAAAAAAAAAAGGAAAAAAAAAAGAAGATGGAAGGAACACATGGTCACTATATCAAAAAGAATTGGTTGACTTTAAACCATTTAAGGAGGTAGCATATGATCAAGAAGTCCAAGCTGCACTGAAGGCACTGGCAAAAAACAAGGCTCCAGAAATTGACAGAATACCAATTGAGATATTTCAACAAATGGACCCAGCACTGGAGGTGCTCACTTGCCTACGCCAAGTAATATGGAAGACAGCTACCTGGCCAACCGACTGTAGTAAGAGAATCATATTTGTGCCCATTCCAAAGAAAGGTGATCCAATGGAATGTAGAAATTATTGAACAATTTCATTAATATCACAGGCAAGTAAAATTTTGCTGAAGATCATTCAAAAATGGTTGCAGCAGTACATTGACAAGGAACTGCCAGAAATTCTAGATGGATTCAAAAGTGGATGTGGAACTAGGGATGTCATTGCTGATGTCAGATGGATCTTGGCTGAAAGCAGAGAATACTGGAAATATGTTTACCTGTGTTTATTGACTATGCAAAGGCATTTGACTGTGTGGATCATAACAAATTATGGATAACATTGCAAAGAATGGGAATTCCACAACACTTAATTGTGCTCATGCAGAACCTGCACAGATCAAGAGGCAGTTGTTCGAACAGAACAAGGGGATACTGCGTAGTTTAAAAACAGAAGAGGTATGCGTCAAGGTTGTATCCTTTCAGTATACTTATTCAATCTGTATGCTGAGCAAATAATCCGAGAAGCTGGATTATATGAAGAACATGGTATTAGGATTGGAGAAAGACCTGCGATACTTAGATGACACAATCTTGCTTGCTGAAAGTGAAGAGGACTTGAAGCACTTCCTGATGAAGATCAAAGACTACAGCCTTCAGTATGAGTTACACCTCAACATAAAAAATACAAAAATCCTCACAACTGGGCAAATAAGCAACATCATGATAAACGGAGGAGACAACACTGAAGTTGTGAAGGATTTCATTTTACTTGGATCCACAATCAACACCCATGGAAGCAGCAGACAAGAAATCAAATGACATTGCGTTGGGCAAGTCTGCAGCAAAAGATCCCTTTAAAGTGTTAAAAAAAAAAAAACAACCAAAAATGTCACATTGAGGGCTACGGTGCGTCTGACCCAAGCCATGGTATTTTCACAAACATGCAAAAACTGGACAATAAGGAAGATGGAAGAATTGATGCACTTGAATTGTAGTGTTGGATAAGAATATTAAATATACCATGAACTGTCAGAATGAACTGATCTATCTTAGAAGAAGTTTAGCCAGAATTCTCCTTAGAAGCAAGGATGGTGAGACTTCCTTTCACATACATTGGACATGTTATCAGGAGAGACCAGTTCCTAGAGAAGGACATCATGCTTGGTAAAGAAGCTCAGCGAAAAAGAGGAAGACCCTCTAAGAGATGGACTGACACAGTGGCTACAACAATGGGCTCAAACATAGCATGGACTGTGAGGATGGCGCAAGAAAAGGCACTGTTTCTTTCTGTTGTACAGAGGGTTGCTATGAGGAATGACTGGACGACACCTAACAACAAGAACAAGACCATTAACTCCATTCTTCTGATTTTATAAAGAAAACTGAGGCATAGAGAGGTAATGGGACTTCCCTGAGATTACACAGGTTACTGCAGGACAGAGTGATGACCATTGCTGATGCTGCAAAGGAGCAGGGGTGGTGGCTACCCTTCTCATGCTCCCCTACAAGCACTCCCTTCCCCAATTCTTTTAGGTCACAAAGAAGAGCAGCACCAAGAAGTACAAAAACCTTGGTATTTGGTGTCTCTTGGAACTGAGTTTTAATTCCTCTGTGAACCTAGGGAATAAGTACTGCTCTCTGAGCCTTAGGTGTCTACTCTGTAAATGGGAAGGGATCTGAGGAGGAAAAAACTGCCTTTGAAAATGCCTGCAACCAGTAGGTTATCAAAGTGCCATTGAGGGCACAAAGGTTACCACATACATGGAGACTTTACCTCCAGGTCCCCTCACATCACCTGGCCATGTCAGTACTAGAAGATGTTTAGACAACTGCCATGGGAGCAGATTCCCCTAGACTGAAAAACTTTGTCCTTCTCCCAGCAAAGGCCCAGCTGTGGCCATTATCCTACAATCCCTCAGAAGAGGAGGCCCAAAGACAGCATGGACCCCTCAAAAAGAAAGTCCTCATGTCAAACAGCTTCCTGCCTGGGGCTTGAGGACAGACATGGGGCTGTCAGGGCTGAGAAGTCATCGGACTGGCGTTGGTTCCAGCCCTAGCTCCTGCCTAAGCTACCTTGGCAAGTCATGGCCCCTTTAAGGAACTCAGTTTCCTCTTCTGTAAAATGGGGGGCATAGACTTCGCAAGATGAACTCTGAAGTGGCTTCTATTCCAAAAATATTCCAGGATCCTGCACTTTGAGGGGACTTGATGAGTTGTTCTGTCTGAACTCAATTCAGTTAGACACCTCCCTCATCCATCCATACCTCCAACCAGCTGGAAAGCACTGCTGAGGACATCCAAGGAGCACACGAACAAGTAGAGAAATCCCAGAAGGAAAATGAATTTCCCAATCCCTTGGAATACACATAGAATCTTCCCTTTGGTGTCTCTCTCTGGGGATAAAAAAAAAAAAAAAAGCATGAAGGTGAATTTTAGTGTCTGAAACACTGAAGTTTGGCAATGAGCTCAGAACAGCCCACCTCCCACCCGTGGACAGAACCAGTCAGGTGTGGCAGTGAGCTCTTGGGTATAGGAAGGCCAACAGATCCAATGCATCCATTGCTGCAGTTTTCAAAGCAGTCACCACTGTAGTCCATTTAGCGAACACCGTGGCGAAGTGGCTCTAAAGGATTTGCATTTGGAAAGAGGTGTTCAGTCTGGGACACAAACAGGCAAACCAGGCTCCAGACCCAGCTGAACCACACTGTTGCTGATTGAGGCAGGTAAGGGCACTTGCCACCCGCTAAGTGCTGGATTAGGGATAATGGCAGAGTATTTTCTAGAGTGAGGCTTCATGATAGCAATAACAGAGGGCCTTTGGGCCCTGGTCCCTCCCTGGGATGCTCCGTCCTTGACTGCTATTTCCTCCGTTCACCTCCTCCTCCCTCCCTCAGCATCCTTCCATATTCTATCTGTAGGTCTTGTCTCAGTATCTTCTGGCTTGTTTTAACACTTACTTCTCCTCTTCTGGATTAGGAGCTGAAAGTGGGAGAGGTGAGAGCCCTCCTATTGAAGCTGCCCTGCCTCCCAGCTCTCTCTCCCAGCCCACTTCCCCTCCCTAACTTCAACCTCCCTTCCCTGCCAGCTCCACAAACAGACCTTACACCCTGCACCTGGAAAAGAAATGCAGCATTACTTGCACCCCAGCTATTCTGACTGCACATTCACTTGTCAATTGTGTCTTTCCACCATGCCTCCATAGGTGCCAGCATCCTCACATAGGTGTCAGGAGCTACTGCAGGTTCATACGCCTTGTAAGGCATAGGCATGTGGATGAGGTGTCCCTGAGGCTTGTGTCCATGATGGAGGCAGGACACATTGTTTACTCTGCCAGAAGCCTCCCCTGATGCCCACGTTTAGGTGAGGGGCCTTCCAAGGAGCTCTGTGAGTTCAGGGACCTCATCTGTTCACAGCTGTGCTCATAGCACCTCTGATAGTAGCCAGTACATGGTTGGCATGCAATGAAGAGCCAGACAGTGTCTGTCTTGATTATAACCTAGTACCTGGCACGTTTGTTGCATGACAATTTTGCTGTAGGAACAAACGCTTCCAACAACATGTTGTGCTTTAACTGTAAACCTCAGTGACAGCCAGGTGGCATCCCTGTCCAGGACCCTTCATCTCAGACATGAGAACAGTTAAAAGGGGAGGGTGACACACAAGAGTGAACCACTGGTGCCAATACTTGTGATTGGCAGTACCCCTCCCACCTCGCCTCAGGTGGAATGAGTTGGCCTGATTTTTACCTGACCATGTGATCCCCGTGTCCTGAAGTACAGGCAGGTCCCAGGTGTCTTCCCCCTTTGTAGGCTCTTCATTGAGTGGTACAGTGACGAACGAAGACAGATCCATTTCAGTCACAGGGCTTCCAAAGGCATCTGCCCAAACAAGCAACAAGATAGGAGTCAGACCTGAGTCCCCTCAGGTCCTCACAGTAGGCCAGTCCTCGGCTGAATGAACACTACTCACTTTTATTGGTCTCTTCGCCTTTTGCAGGTGTGGCAGACTGCTGACTAGTGGCCCCTTCAGTGGGGTGTGGATGGACACTTTCCAACTCAGGCCAAGGAGCCATTGTCTGTGGGTAGAAAAAGAGCTTAAAGAAACCACCACCAATAGGAGGCACATGCCTAGAAGATCAAGTGAAGTCCAGTTGGCATGATCTGGGAAACTGCCATGATGGGGAGAACCACTGGGGAGTTGTGGAGGGTAGAGGAAGTGTGGGTGTCATGCTATACCTTCTACGTTTGGAGTCTTCGCTGCTACATTTTATTCCTCTTCCAACCACTCATCTAGGCCGCCACTAAATTAGACCACTTCTTCCAGTATATCTGACCTGGCCTCAAATCTACAGAATTCTAGGGAGCCTCTGGGTGGGTCTGAACTGATAACTTTTTGGCTAGTAGTTGAGCGCTAATTTATCCCTTTATTTCTTCATTTAACAAATTTTTGGGGCCCCAACTGTGTGCCAAGCAATGTTCTGGGTGTTGGGGTAGAGCAGTCGAGAAAACTTCTACTCCTACTCTCAGGACCTTGTACTCTCTAGAGGAGGAGACAGGTTATTAAAAAATACATCATTTCAGAATGGCTGAAGTGCTATGAAGGAAATAAAACAGGGTGACAATAGCTAGGGGCAGAGAGATGCTCTTGAGATCTGAACGATAAAGAAGAGTGTCCATGAGTAAATCTGGGAGTGGAAAGCTTATGTCCCAGGCAGAGGGGATGGCAGGAGCAAAGGCCCTGGGGTGGGAATGAGTGTTGGAAGCAGAAGGAAGGTTAGTGTGGCCAGAGAATATGAACCAGGGGAGGGAGGACCCTGTGCACCATCTCCGCTATCAGCTACTACCCTGCCGGCTGGCCTTTTTAAAAGGAAAACCACATTCAGGAACTCTTGTTCATCCTTAATGGCTGAAATAGTTTGCTTTTCACTTGACTCTTTTAACTATGAAGATTTAAAGTACGAGATCAGGTATTAGATTGCGTATATAACGTTTGATCACATTCCTTAAAGTTAATAAGAACCAAATCCATTGCCATCAAGTCGACTCTGACTCACGGCAACCCCAAGTGTAGTGTAGACCAGAGTAGAACTGGTCCATAGAGTTCTCTTGGCTGTAATCTTTATGGTTGCAGTCACCAGGCCTTTCTTCCTTGGCTCCGTGGGTAGGTTCGAACCATCAACCTTTCATTTAGCAGCCAAGCACAAACCATTTGCAACACCCAGGAATATTAATAATAATACTAAATAAAATAATAATTTAAAATTAAGGAGGGACTCACTGTTCTGGACTCAATTCTGAAAGCCATTCAGGAGGCCTGAATCTCCCTTCTGTTCTCTGCTGAGTCTGGGTCCACCAGGCCTGGAAAGACATGACAAAGGAAGAGATGTGAATGATTCCCAAGCAGCTGATCTGCACAGAAATATCTCCAATAGTCCTCTAGGGCATCTCATATTTCCACCATGTGCGATGCAACCCTTCTTTTAAACTACCATTAACGATGGTGTTGGATGCCATCAAGTCCATTCTGACTCATAGCAACCCCATGTGACAGAGTGGAATTGCCCCATAGCTTTCTTGCCTGTGATCTTTATGGGAGCAGATTGCCAGGTCTTTTCGGTTAGCACCACCAAGGCTTGTACCATAAACAATAAAATTTATAAGACCCAATGTTCGCAGAGCTATGGCAAAAAAAAGTGGGTGTGTATTTTCTCACAAGTCCATGCTGGCAGTGTGATCCTCCTACTTTGTCACAGCTCCTAGTGTAGCTAATGGTCCTCCCAATGGTCATGCTCATGGTGGCAAACAATTAACAACCTTTTCAGTATGTGTCTAACAACTTCAAACTCAGCATCTTCACCATCTTTTCCACATTCATCTATAATGCTGCAACATAGGCTAAACAATTTATTTACTCTTCTTTCATAAACATGTAATAAATCCTTACACCAGGCTAACTGTAAGTCAGTGGGGTACTATGAAAGATCACAGAATAGCTGTAGGTTTTAAATGGATAGATTAGAAAGTATGACCAACCTTAACTGGGGTAATTTGAGGGTGAGACAAAGGGTACAAATATATTGCCCATTTTAACATGTCAGTATTGCTTGAATTATGTGCTTTTGTGTGTGTGACCACTTTAGAATTAAAAACAAATTGAAAGATTTAATCCACCTAGCTATTCAGTTCTGTCACTTATTAGCTTAGATAAGCCACCTAAGTGCTTACCTGTTAAATGCGGGCAATATTCAGACCTGCCTTACTTAACTCACAAATGATGAAAATTTAGTAAAGAAACAGCTTGGTAACTGTAAACAGTTACATAAATGTATGCTGTTGAAATGATAAATCTGGACCATATCAACGTAATGATATACACGTACACACACACACACACACACATACCTTGCTATGCAGAACAGAGGACAAGTCCATCTGTCTACACTGATCAGTATTTGTGCACTGGCAGATTGGAATTACACTTATGTTTGTCAGGAATATATTAATTGTTTACCTGACAAGCTGCTGAAACGTATAATATATTTAAAATAACCTTTTTATAAACACCAACTGCACCCCTTTGGGTACCTACTATCCCACACATTCACACTCAAAAGCAATACACTGTAACGTACCGATTCGGGCACTGGTGGGAAGTTAGTTTACACGGTGATGTAGTCTGTGCTAGATGGCACAGCTCCTTCTCTTCCTCCTGAAATGCTTCCCACACCCACCTACTCCTTACCAACTCACAGAGGAAGACTTTTAGATGTCCATAAACAATGTCTTGTCACACTTTTTCCTCCTCAAAAGATCTTTCTGGAAATCCAGCAACCTGAGCCAGTCACTAGAAAAGGACATCATGTTCGGTAAAGCAGAAGGTGAGGGAAAATGAGGGAGACCCTCAATGAGATGGATTGACACAATAGCCACAACAATGGACTCAAACATGTCAGTGATCATGAAGATGAGGCAGAACCAGACGACATTTAGTTCTATCATCCATAAGGTCACTATGAGTCAGAGCCGACTCAACGACAACTAACAGCAGCAGCCTGTGATGGTTAATGAACCTGGCTGCTAAACAAAAGTGCCTCAGAGGAAAGGCGTGGCAGTCTACTCCCTAAAAAATCAGCCATTGAAAACTCTGCAGAGCACAGTTCTATTCTGACACAATGAAGTCACCATGAGTCAGAGTTAACTTATCTGCAACTTGTTTTGATTTGATAGAGGCTTTGCCTTCCCTGCCTGTGGTGGGGTGGGAGGGCAGGCAACAGGGCACACCACAGTGTAGGGAAACAAGCTTTAAGTGGTGCTGAGGACTTTTGGAGCACCAGCTCACCATCAGTTCTGATTAGTAGATGGGAAAACAGATAAAGAGCCTCAGAGTATATCAGGAATCACCCTCAGACACCCACAGGCTCCAGTTAGGGACCACACATGATGGAGGTGAGGCAGGTAGAGAGGTCTGTGTTAAACCAGAGAGGGGATGCCCCGTCCAGGGCCAGTGGCTGCTCAGGTTCACATGTTGCATGAGAAGACCAGATCTGCTGCCGCCAGATCTTTGGAATTTTCTGGAGAAACCAGATATCCAGATTTTTATCTGAAATGTACCATTAAAAAGAAAAAAAAAAAAAAAAAAAATACTGGGCAGGCCAAACAAAGCATGTCATTGGGCTGAATTAGGTCCATTGTTAGCTGCTGGCCAGTTGGCCCCTAACTCATGGTGACCCCATGAGTTACATAGGGCTTTCTTGGCTATAATCTTTAGACAAGGAGCCCTGATGGTGCACTGGTTAAGCACTCGACTGCTAACCAAAAGGCTGGTCATTTGAACCCACCCAGAGTCTCCACGGAAGAAAAGACCTAGTGATCTGCTCACATAAAGATTACGTCTTAGACAACCCTATGGGACAGTTCTACTGGGACACATGGGGTCGCTATGACAACAGCTAACAACAACAATCTAGGAGATGGTTGTACCCAAATGAGAAGGCCCCCAGGAGCCCTCTCTTGTCTTCCTCGGCTCAGTGCCCCAGCCTCTGAGTCACCAGGCCTGGGAAAACCAAGGGATTCATTCTGATGGGGAAAGTCCTGGCCTTGCCTGCTCATCCCAAATTCCCCAGCAGAAGAAGCTGCCAGTCCCTGAAGCAAGAAAGGAGCAGGGGTGGCAAAGGGTGCCTGCTTGGCTCCCAACTGCCAAAGCCGGGCCTGGAGAGCAGGCAGCTGCATTCTGGGCCTGCTCGCTCTGGTACCCTCCCCTGAGGGTCAGTGGGCCCGGAGCCTGGCCACAGCTACTGCGAAAAGGGGGCATCAAATGGACTGCATCATAAAAGCCTGCAGAAGTGGCTCCAAAAATAACACCTGAACAAAACCATATGAACTTTTGCAGTCACTGGAGCTTCTTCGAGTCCCCATGGTCTCAGAAGTTCTGGTGATCTATGTCCAAAAAATCAGCCATTGAAAACCCTATGGAGCAACAGTTCTACCAGCACCAGAACTGTTCATCTCAGGAAGGAAGGCACTCAAGAGTCCCCTGATAGAAGCCATCACATTCCCACACAAACCCCGCATCACCCAGTGCCTTCCCACACATACTATGTGGTTTCTCCTTTGGCCCTATCCCATCACAGAAGTACAGAGGGTGCAGGAGGGGCCTGTTTATCTCTGGGTTGTGTCCACGTTTACCCTGAGCAGATGCCCAGGTGTGCATGCTGGGAACAGCTTCCAGTTAACCTAAACAATACAAGATCTTCATCCTTAAAAACCCAGTAAATTGAGATCCTTTCCTTCCCTTGCTAGATGCTTTATAATCCCTGAGAGAGGGCACAAAGTCTTGTCATTTTAACTGCTGTTAGCTCATTCTTTCCAATGTCCAGAGGGTAGAAACCGTGAATGTGACTCACAGGAAAATGGCAATGGGCAGCAAGATGGTGGGGCAAATATATCGTCTCATTAACATCGTATTTCATTAAGTGGGTTTGTTTCAATTTTGGGTCACTGCACAAGTCACAGAGTCCCTCCCTTTATGGTAAATTTGGCAAAAATCCATTTCTTTCCAGAAGCTTCTAGTGTAGCCCTTTCAAATCCAGGCACTGTGGTACCCACTAACCCCTTTCACCTGGCACCTGTCAAAGCGCCCTCCTCTCTCCCAGGCACTTATGGTACCGTCCTCTGTATTTCTGTGGGAACTTTTGTTCTGATCAAATCTTAGTGCTCAGTTCAGACAAAATCATCTCCATTGTTTATAGGTAATGTAGAAGCACAGAATGTTTAGATTATAGTAATCCTTACAAACCGTCTAGCCCGCGATGTTTCAGATAAAAGCAAAATTGCTCTGATGGGATCAGAGGTGGGGAAGAGCTCCCTTCTTCCCTCTCCCCCAATCTCTCTTCCAGTCCTGGGTGAACCTATGAAGGGAAGGGATTGGGAAGGAGTTCAGTGAAACCCTTGGGATTCCTGAGTTGTGGTATGAAAATATGACACAGCCCTTTTATTTAAAACCCAAAATAAAACCCTTTGCCCTCAAGTCCATTCCTACTCATAGGGATCCTACAGGACAGAGTAGAACACCTCATAGGGTTTCCAAGGCTGAAATCTTTACAGACGCAGAGTGCCACATCTTTCTCCTGTGCAAGGGCTGATGGGTTGAAACTGCTGAACTTTTGGTTAGCAGCCCAGTGTTTAACCACTGCACCACCTTGGTTCCTTCACTTTTATTTAGGGGAAATAAAATGTTTACTGAAGATTTCTATAATTATCCTCCCAAAATATGTGTTGAAATCCTAATCCCTATACCTGTGGATGTAATCATCTTTAACATAATTGTAGAGAAGGGTAGGTCTGGTGGGAAAATTCAACGGGACTGATGTCGTTATGGCACTTGACTTACCCACCTCAACCCCAACAAAATGGTGCATTAGCTTCAATTCGCCACTTTGAACCAGCAAAGCTGGCCTTGATAAAATTTATACACTTGAAGGCTCAAATCTCCTCTTTAACTCAAAATCTAAATGTATTCTCAAGTGCTCCTCTGCAGACAAGAGGATCTGAGATCATAAATAGCCTACAGGGCTGGGCTGGGACATCTTGCAAACCAAAGTGCCCACTGTCATGCAAATGAGATGCTCAAAGAAGATGTTAATAGAATTGCGATCATTCCATACATAACTCTGAGTTTGATTCCCCCTATATTATACTGTAAGCATTTTTCCTTGTCATTAGTCACTGAAGCTATGAACTTCCCAACTTGTAATGCCTCTTCCCAATCTTGCTGACAGATAGAAATGGGCAGGCACCCTCACCCCCCTCTCCAGGTTCACCTCCATCTTGCACCAGTGAAAATTGTT